AATGGAAAAAGAACAGGACAGAAAAAAGTGGGGATAAACAGGAATTAGCTTACAAACGAGGAGCCAAGTTTGCACGTTTCTGGTTTATCTCATGTACATACATATGTATATATATACACACACACACGTACCTACATATGTATATGGTTCAATGTTAACTGCTAAGAATTTTTTTCTTACCTTTTTTTTTCTCTCATCGTTTTATTTCGTTTTATTTCTCAACGATCATTCTGTGTCCGTCCTTGGCCAAGGCAATTCTTCAAGATCATTGATTATCTGTCTGCACGTTTGTTTCTTAACTTCTCAATAAATTAATAAAATAACAAAAGTGAGATTTTCTTATTTTGTTATTATTTTTGTTTTTGGTTTTTCTTTACTGATTCATATACATATCAAATATTGTTTAATAATAAATCATCGTGTTTTCATTTATTCATCATAAAAATGTTCGAAATGATCAGGAACAAAATTTGTGATATTTATAAATAATCATTTGTTTCTTTTTTTTAATTAATTTATATACATGTCATATATCTTTTGACAATAAATTATCAAGTTTTCATTTCTTAATTATAAAAATATTCAAAATGATTGGAAACAAATTCGTGATAATTAGAAATAATAATTTGTTTTATTGTAATAAATGTTTGTTTTTGATATAAAAAGAAGAAAAAGAAGAAAAAGAAGAAGAAGAAATAGAAAAAAATGGACATATGTTTTCAATACTTTTGTTATAATTTTATCAACACGTGTGTTTGCTTTTTTTAACTTACGTAGAAGGAAAAAAATTGAGCCTATATCAATGTTGTTAGAGTTGTTAACAATAATTGATGTTAAAACGAAGTATCATATATATATATATTTTTTTTTTACATTGCACCAGGGACGATTATGAAATAATTAACAATTGTTATCGAGTATATGTGTTATGAACAAATAGATAATTATTATGGATTTGTTGATGCACTAATTGGATTATTAAAAATTGACCTTCCTTTTGTTTTTCTTCTCTCAGTTAATATAGTAAATACTTTTTGTTTATATTTATTATATTTCGTTGCCTGGAAAATATTGGTACCCATTGATAAATACAGAAATATTTAACATATATACATTTTAATTAATTAGATATATATTATTTGTTTAATATATAATAATAGTATATAATAATTAATTATATATAGTAATAATATAATAGTAATAATAATTAATATAATAATATATATTAGAGTATACTAATAAGTCAAGAAAAAATTTATTTAATATAACAAAATTTTATTTCATATAATATAACTTTTATTTCTCAAAATAAATAAATAAATATATGTTTTATATAAAAAATATATATTTATAAATAGATAGTAAAATATTGATAATTTGAAATTGGATCAAACTTTCCTTACACAATTAGATATAAGTTTAAATTTTTGTTCCCCTTTTCGTTTATCATCCTATCTCAAAATACAAATCTTTCCATTGATCTATCGATCTTGATCGAACTATATATCGAAAGATATTATTGGATCTCTACTAAAGGCAGATGTGTTGATTCTCTATTATTACATACCCAGAACAGTATCATCTACATACGTACGTATGTATATATATATGTATATATATACTCATATTAGGGATAATAAATTCAGAGAGTAAAATCGTAACACTCTTCTGACGGCGATTCTTCTCGTTATCGTCGTTCATTGTCGGATCGTTGTAAATCTTCCGTTACGATCGTTACGCAACTATTAACGCAACTATTAACGCTTATGTTAAAAGTTTCGTTTACATGAGAAAGTCAAATGAAAATTATTAGAAAATTATTATCGTTATAGTAATTTGTACATTTAATACATTTTTTCGGAACTCCACTATTTTCTATTTTATGTTTTTTTTCTACTCACAACTATTAATTATCATTTGCATAAGAATATATAACTTATTTACATATGAATATAAACAACTCGTATAATATATATAAAATAATAATTATAATACATATAATAATATATATAATAAATAGTTATTATATAATAATTATTTACTATATTATATAGGAGTTTATACATGTAATATA